TAAATTTATTCCTAGGTATTTTATTTTTTGGGTGACTATTACAAATGGGCTTGCTTTCTTGGTTTCTTTTTCTGCTAGTTCATTATTGCAGTGGCAGTGGTGGCAGGCCATCCTTGAGGCAGTGGTGGCTGTGGCAGACCACCTGCATGGTGGCAGTGTCTGTGGACTGGTGGGCCACCCATGCCTCAGTGCCCCCAAATCCTGCTGTCTGTCAGTGGGGGGCTGCCCTTAGCAGTTTTGACAAAGGTACCCACTTGGGTAACTACCACCCCAGTCAAATATATATAATATTTTTATCACCTCAGAAGAGTTCACGCCTCCTTCCTTGCAGTCTTTGTTCTCTGTAGTCTCACTCACCCACCCCTCATTACACTACCTATCACCCACTGATCTCTGTCACCATAGCTAGTTTTGCCTGCTTTAGACTCTCATATAATGAAATCAGAGTGTATAATGCAGTTAGGTAGTTTTTGTGTCTGTCTTCTTTTGTTCAGTATAGTTCTTAAGGTTCATTTTTGTTGTATGAGTCAGTAGTTTCTTAATATTTATTGCTGGGTATTATCCCATTTTGTAAATACACCACAATTTTTCATTCACCTGTTGTTCATGGACAAAAGGGTTATTGGTTCCAGTTTTTTATGGCTCTTATTAATAAAGTTATTTAATTTCTCTCAGGTAAATAACAGAGAATGGGATTTCTGGGCCATAGGATGAATGTATGTTTAATTTTGTAAGAATTGCCAAACTGTCCTTTTTTTTTTTTGGTATCTGTCCGGTCCAGAGATCTGAACCCTTGACCTTGGTGTTATCAGTACTATGTTCTCCCAAGTGAGCTAACCAAGCAGACCCATGCCCATTTATTTTTGAGAGGCACATCAAAAGGTTGATTGGAAAGTTTGTGTGTTTGAATGTATCACTTGTTGACTTGTGGATTTTCCTGTTGGGTAATTATTTGGGAACCCAGCCATTTCTATAGGAAGAATAGAGAACCTTCCCATACCCCATGTCAGTAGCAGTAGGTCTTTGTTCAAGGATCATTTACTCACTTCAGAGAAGAAGCCTCATTTATTCTGCTGAGGTGATATATATGTGTGAGTAGGGCAAGGGAAGGAAGCCA